GTTGGTATGCTGTTATTTGGTTGGTATAAGAGATTGCTGCTTGAGTCTTTGTGATTAACATGTTGGTCTGTTAATGGTTAACAACAGTTTTGTTTGATATTGAAGGTCCATCTTTTTGAAGTAATGTCGTCCACTTTGTGGGTAGACAGTGGTTGGTCAACTTTTATTTGGTTGGTATAAGAGATTGCTGCTTGAGTCTTAGTGACTAAGCATGTTGGTCTGTTAATGGTTAACAGCGGTTCTGTTTGGTATTAAAGGTTAAAGCTAATTTCATAAGTAAAATCGATTTAACCTCCCTAGCGGTATGATTATTTCAGATTTTTGCTGCTGAAAGCTGTACCAATATTTTGCATGGAAATTTGGCGTTTTATATTGTAGGCCTGTAATGTTTAGGAATAACTCACTGAAATTTGTCCGAACAAGAGTCTAGTAAACATTCCGGGTAGGATAAAATTTGAAACACGAAATCATAAATTAAAATTTAATAAATAATCATAAAAAATAATAATATAATAATAATAAATTTAATTCAATAATATAATCAAACCAAAAACACTGCAATTTGAAATATAGCACCAAGTTCGCACATCAGTGAGCAAAGTTGCAAAATCGTTTTCAGTGTCTGATGACGAATTTCCCCACGAATCATTATCACTCAATTCTGCAAGTGGTTCTAATTTACTATCGCTGTTCTCTAGCTGGTCTAAAACCGCTTTTGACCTAAAGTGATGCTTTTTGAACGCCATGGACTTTTCTAAGTTTCCAGGCAGAAAGAACAGTCAAAATGCAGGCAGGGCACAGGACAAAGCAGTAGGGACAAAATGTATGTGAAATGGTTTGAAACAGCAATGTTTTACTATGTCATTTTTGTTTATTAGAAAATGACAGTTTCTAAAATTTTTAAATTTGCCGCCGATTCCTGCCCCTGTACGTCCTGTACGTCCCGACGCTCGCAGGGACTGGAACACGGAAGCCGGATGCCGGCATTGGCCGGAGGAGATGGCCGGGGGACGCTGCAGGGGACACATCGTGGGAGCAAAGGACAAGGTAAGTGCTGCAGGGAAGCCCAAGTGTAGCTCGGGGTTACCGCTTGTGGTACTGAAATTGTACCCCGAGCTACACTCGGGAATACCACCAGGGAGGTTAAACCCAATAAAGGGGCCGTGGCCTAAAATTTTCCACAATCCTTATTGCATGTTTATTTTATTATTTAGGAATGTTCTTATGGTATCATGGGTGTTAATGGGGTGCACAATCCCATGTTATTAAGCTATTTCCTGTGTTGGTCAAATGTTTTTCATTGATTTAAATTGTAAAATGCTGCATTTGGCCACTAGATAGCACCAAGTATCATAGGAAATGCCTATGATACTTTGCACCATCTAGCACACATTTGACTGGCACAGGAAATAGCATAAACATGTTCATTGGGTGTGGTTTGCTCATGGCGGGTTCGGATGCTCATCTGCTTGCTCCATTCAGACACCAGCTATTCAATGCAAAATAGAGATTCTTCTGCTTTCCCATGGGGAAGAATAAGGTTTCGGTCACCTCGGGCTGTCAGCCTAAGCCTTCGGTGGGCAATGTTCCGTTTCAGCCAGAATCAGCCCTCGCTGGAAGTCCTCCTCACAACTCTCATCTGCTGTCAGCTCCCCTGCTTTCTCGCAGCATGCAAACCCTGGATGTGCCCAGAGATTGTGATTGATGGCTTCAACCACAGCAACAATGCAGTCTTTCATTCTCTCTATCAGCCCTCTCCCTGACTGCTTTTCCTCCTGCTTCGCATGACACTCCAGCACTACCATATTACAGTGGCACCTGCACCATCTCCTCCCCCAAGAGCACCTTCTCTACCACTGGCTTCTGCTCCTAGTCTTGAGATAGAGATGCAGTACATCCCCCATTTCTACCTTTACAACCTCGTAATGGCTCTGCTTCTCTCTCTGCCTCTGCTCATCTGTGACAACCTCCTCTGTCCAAATGACCATGAGCTTTATTACCCCACCAGTAGAAAGCCTGGCTTCCAGTTCTTTGGGGGCCCCAGATCACCCTCTTTGACCCCAATGTAGAGGAGGATTTGGACTTGAAGGTATATATTTGCCTATTACCTACTAAGTTGGATTTAGGCCAGGCTAGAGACTACCTATAAAAGAGAGGTGAGCCTTATGAAAATGGATATCAATTGAGTCTACACGAAGGTGAAAGACCTAACGTCCACTGTGCAAGCACTTCAAAAAAAGCTGAACAACAAGATCAAATATTGCAAGTGCAGATTGTACAACATTGCATCCTCATTTACCACCTTGAAGATTTTGAAAACTGCAGTAGGAGAAATAATACTGTATTTGCGTTCAAGGACTTCCTGAGTCAGTTCTTCCAAAAGATCTCCCGGCTGCCCTGACCCCTATTTAAACCAACTCTTACAGAAACATAAAGACTCTGCCTTGGAAATTGATCAAGCTCATTGTACATATGCTTTAGATCCCTGGATGACAGTAGGCTGAAAGATGTCCTCTGCAGGGTCCACTACTTTAAAGTGAAGGAGGCCATCCTGTCTGCTGCTAGAACCCAGGATGAGATATGGTCCAATGATACCCCTATCATGGTCTTACTGAACCTCTGTTATCACACACGGAATCTTTGCTAGGCTCTTAAAGAAACTGTGTGCTGCAGATATTAGGAACTGATGGGGTTATCTCTTTCAATTGTCTGCATCTAAACATGGAAAAACAGTGGTATTACGCCACTTGGGAGATTTACCCAACTTTTTGGGGTAATGAATAAGCACTGTCTTTAGCATGAAAGGCGTTTACCTGCCAGTCCCCCACTGTATTTCCACTGTCTGTATTGGTTTTATCTTTGTTCAATAAAGTGGATTGTTTGGAGTGCAGCCAATCGGACTTCCTTTGTTCCCAACTTTATGGATACCTTTCAGTTGCTGTACATTCAACTCCCGTATTGGCCAATAAAACTACTCCTACCAGGTCTTCCTCAATTCCATCCTGACCCTTGCACCTCCAGGAGACCTCATCCTACCTGTCCAGGGCATGTACTGCTGCCTCCCTTGCTATATTATTATAGAAGCAGGCTTATAATACTCATATGTTTATCCTGTTCTCATATTGCAATGGCTTATTTGAGGCTGAAGGTCACCTTTCTTTTTAAAGCCTAAATAATGTATGTTTTACCATACTGCATTCCTTTTTTGGTTGCTTGCCCCGTGTTGAATAGGGGTTCTGTCCCTGTGAAGGAGACCTGCTTTCATTTTCTCTGGTATATTGGTTAATTCCCCAGCGGCCTTCCACTTCCCCCAAATAGATTTGCCTGAGTTGTTTACTTAGGTAATTTGGATTTTTAGCCCTTTGTTTTTTAGTGGCTTCACTCTCCTTGTGAGAGACTTTCCAAACCTTTCTAATCTCAGTGTTCTCTGTCTTAATTTCTCCCTTTTTTTTACTCTTAATCTTCTATGTCCCTCCTTAACTTTCATCCTCTCCTCTCTTCTCCCCCCTCCCCCTTTTTCTTTTCTTTCACTCTCTTGCCAGACATTACTCCTACTATGTCTCCAGTCACTGTCTGTCAGGAATGGACTTGCCAGTAATGGTGGGACTCACCTGCCTTGTGGGCCGCAGTACCAGGGCTAGCCAGCGGGTGCTCCCAGCAATCAGAGACTCAACCCTGCAGCCAGCCAATCACCTGAAGCTGATTATGCAGGTGTATTTAAGGGATGGCCAGACCTGATTCGTTGCTGACCCTGCCTGATCCGGACCTCTGCTGACTTCTCCTGTTTGATCCCTGGCTTGTGATCCCGACCATTCTCTGCCTGACCCCCTGTACCTACCTGCCCGTTAGTTGCTGTACCCGGCTTGTGACCTGACTACTCTCTGCCTGCTCCTCCTGTTCCTACCTGCTCGATTGTTATTGACCCGGCCTGCCTGACGACACTTGCATTGTATGTATTGTTATCTGTGGGTGGTTTGGTTCGTTTGCACTGTGTTATGTTTTAGTATTGCACTGCGTTTATGTATTGCTAGTGTTAATAAATTATATTGTTTATAACATATCTGAAGCCTGCGTTTCCCTGTGTCAGTTCACATACCTCTGGTCATACCCTGGAGCCCTGACATTACACCAAGGCCAATCCTGACCAGAAGTGGCTGCACAGGGAAGCCATCTTGGCTTGTTGCGGGGAAGGATGGATCTTGATGAGGTTCTGTATTTGTCGCTGCTGGTTTTTGATGACAGAGAATATGCTCATCAGGCTCTGAGGGAGTATACCCGGGATCAACTGCTAGAATGTATACGGATCGCTCATGTTCTAGTAGATCAGGGCACAGAGTTCTCTGAGGTGCAACCTTTGATTCAGGTTTGTGTAGAGTTGGCTTCATCTGGTACCCCTGAAAGCAGGAATTACTTTTTGCCGCCATTTAGTGCAGACCAGGTAGAGTCCCTGGTATGGTTATTAGAGGATGATGCGAATTGCTTCTTGGAGCATTATGCTGCATGTTCACCACAGGTATTAAGGGATTGTATAAACGCAGTGCAGTCTTTGGTCAGACAGGCTTTGTGTAAGCGGAGCTTTGTTCAACCCGTACTGCAGACATGGTCAGATTTGTTACACCTAGCCTCAGTCAGCTTGCAAACCCAGTCCTGCTTCTAATCTATTTCTTCAAAGCTCTATTCCTGCATTCCCAACAGCACCCCCAGTTACAGCCCAGTATACCCTGCTATCTACCGCATGTCAGTACCCTGTTCCCACTCGCTGCACCTATCCTGCCTTTAACCCTGTAAAGAAGCCCTCTGTAGCAACTGTTCCCTCCCCTGTTCCATCCTCCAGCTCTTCTCTGTCTCCAGCTGCTCCATCCGTTTACAAACCTGCGCTTACTTACAGTGCTCCGGTAACTAAAACCAGGAAAAGGCGAAAGTTCTTTCCAACCAATACCATCCTGCCAGTATCCAAACCGGTGAGCCTCCCATCTGAGAACCTGCCTTCCGTGGTGCAGCCTGATGCCTCTACCCAGCCTGATGCCTCTACTCAGCCTGATGCCTCCACCCAGCCTGATGCCTCCACCCAGCCTGATGCCTCCACCCAGCCTGATGCCTCTACCCAGCCTGATGCCTCCATTCAGCCTGATGCCTCCACCCAGCATGATGTTTCTACCCAGCCTGATGAACTGATCCAGCCTGATGATTCCAGTAGGCCAGTTGACCCGATGCCCGTTGTCGGGCCAGACGATCCAATGTCTGACCCAGTGCCCGCGGTCATGCCAGTTGACTCGGAGCCCACTGTCGTGCCTGGTGACTCGGTACCCACTGCCTTGCCAGATGACACGGTGCCCGCTGGCGAGCCAAATGACCTGATGCCTGTTGACCCAGTGCCCGCTGTCATGCCTGGTGACCCGATGCCCGCTGTCGAGCCAGACAATGCCATGCCTGATGACCCAGTGCCCGCTGTCATGCCTGGTGACCCGATGCCCGCTGTCGGGCCAGACGATCCAATGTCTGACCCAGTGCCCGCGGTCATGCCAGTTGACTCGGAGCCCACTGTCGTGCCTGGTGACTCGGTGCCCACTGCCTTGCCAGATGACGTGGTGCCCACTGGCGAGCCAAATGACCTGATGCCTGGTGACCCAGTGCCCGCTGTCATGCCTGGTGACCCGATGCCCGCTGTCGTGCCAATTGACTCAGAGCCCACTGTCGTGCCTGGTGACTCGGTGCCCACTGCCTTGCCAGATGACGCGGTGCCCGCTGTCGAGCCAAATGACCTGATGCCTGGTGACCTGATGCCCGCTGTCGAGCCAGATGATCCAATGTCTGACCCAGTGCCCGTGGTCATGCCAGTTGACTCAGAACCCACTGTCGTGCCTGGTGACTCGGTGCCCACTGCCTTGCCAGATGACGCGGTGCCTGCTGGCGAGCCAAATGACCTGATGCCTGGTGACCCGATGCCCGTTGTCGTGCCTGATGACCCGGCGCCCCCGCCGCCCCGCCTGGGGGGGGCCCGGCACCCCGCCTGAGGGCCTGGAGCCCGCCGCTCCGCCTGGGGGCCCGATGCCCGTCGCTCCGCCTGGGGGCCCGATTCCTGTCGCTCCACCTGGGGGCCTGGCGCCCGCCGCCCCTCCTGGTGGCCCGATGCCTGCCGCCCCTCCTGGGGGCCCGGCGCCTGCCGCTCCGCCTGGGGGCCCAGCGCCCGCCACCTCGCCTGGGGGCCCGGCGCCTGTCGCTCCGCCCGGGGGCCTGGTGCCTGCTGCCCCTCCTTGGGGGGCCGCCCGCCGCTCTGCCTGGGGGCCCGGCGCCCGGCGCTCCGCCTGGGGGCCCGATGCCCGTCGCCCCTCCTGGGGGCCCGCCGCCCCACCTGGGGGCCCGGCGCCTGCTGCTCCGCCGGGGAGCCCGGTGCCCGCCGTTCCGCCTGGTGGCCCGGCGCCCGCCGCTCCACCTGGTGGCCCGGTGCCTGCTGCTCTGCCCGGAGTCCAGCTCGATGTGCCGCTGCCCGGAGTCCAGCTCGATGTGCCTCTGCCCGGAGTCCAGCCCGGTGTGCCTCTGCCCGGAGTCCAGCTCGATGTGCCTCTGCCCGGAGTCCAGCCCGGTGTGCCGCTGCCCGGAGTCCCGCCCGGTGTGCCGCTGCCCGGAGTCCAGCTCGATGTGCCTCTGCCCGGAGTCCAGCCCGGTGTGCCTCTGCCCGGAGTCCAGCCCGGTGTGCCGCTGCCCGGAGTGCCCGGTGCCCGCCGCTCTGCCTGAGGGCCCGGCGCCCCGTCGCTCCACCTGGGGGCCCGATGCCCGTCGCCCCTCCTGGGGGCCCGCCGCCCCTCCTGGGGCCCGATGGCTGCCGCCCCTCCTGGGGGCCTGGCGCCCGCCGCTCCGCCTGAGGGCCCGCCGCAGCTCCGCCTGGGGGCCTGATGCCCGTCGCTCCGCCTGGGGGCCCGGCGCCTGCCGCTCCGCCTGGGGGGGCCCGGTGCCTGTCGCTCCGCCCGGGGGCCCGGTGCCTGCTGCCCCTCCTTGGGGCCTGGTGCCCGCCGCTCTGCCTGAGGGCCCGGCGCCCGCCACCGCGCCTGGGGGCCCAGCGCCCGTCGCTCCGCCTGGGGGCCCGATGCCCGTCGCCCCTCCTGGGGGCCCGCCGCCCCACCTGGGGGCCCGGCGCCTGCTGCTCCGCCGGGGAGCCCGGTGCCCGCCGTTCCGCCTGGCGGCCCGGCGCCCGCCGCTCCACCTGGTGGCCCGGTGCCTGCTGCTCTGCCCGGAGTCCAGCTCGATGTGCCTCTGCCCGGAGTCCAGCTCGATGTGCCTCTGCCCGGAGTCCAGCCCGGTGTGCCGCTGCCCGGAGTCCCGCCTGGTGTGCCGCTGCCCGGAGTCCAGCCCATTGTGCCGCTGTCCGGAGTCCAGCCCGATGTGCCGCTGCCCGGAGTCCTGCCCGATGTGCCAGTCTTTGATATCCCGCCAGTTACCAGACCCGGGCGGTGGAACATTTTGCCCAGGTAGGACTGTTTGGAGCGTCCTGAGGCCACTCCTTGAGGGGGGGGTACTGTCAGGAATGGACTTGCCAGTAATGGTGGGACTCACCTGCCTTGTGGGCTGCAGTACCAGGGCTGGCCAGCGGGTGCTCCCAGCAATCAGAGACTCAACCCTGCAGCCAGCCAATCACCTGAAGCTGATTATGCAGGTGTATTTAAGGGATGGCCAGACCTGCAGTCTGGGCCTTGGTGTGTGTTTTCCTGGGCCCCTGTATCTTGTTACCTGCATCCCTGTTCCTGTTCCTGTCTGACTGATTCGTTGCTGACCCTGCCTGATCCGGACCTCTGCTGACTTCTCCTGTTTGATCCCTGGCTTGTGACCCCGACCATTCTCTGCCTGACCCCCTGTACCTACCTGCCCGTTAGTTGCTGTACCCGGCTCGTGACCTGACTACTCTCTGCCTGCTCCTCCTGTTTCTACCTGCCCGATTGTTATTGACCCGGCCTGCCTGATGACGCTTGCATTGTATGTATTGTTATCTGTGGGTGGTTTGGTTTGGTTCGTTTGCACTGTGTTATGTTTTAGTATTGCACTGCGTTTATGTATTGTTAGTGTTAATCAATTATATTGTTTATAACATATCTGAAGCCTGCGTTTCCCTGCGTCAGTTCACATACCTCTGGTCATACCCTGGAGCCCTGACACTGTCTGTTTCTTTAATTTCCCAGAGAAGCGCTCAGAAATCTTGTATCAGAAAAAGAAAGTAGACATTTTTCTGCTAAAGAAATCTTAGCATAGAAGTCCCTGTACTCCTACCTTCCGCAATAAATATTACACCCCCAGTGGGTTCACTGTCCTAACCTTAATTCTAAGTTTCGTGGAGACTCCATCACTCTTCATAAGAATTTTCCTTGCACTCACCTCAACACCCAGGGTGACACCTCCAGACATCATTTGTTAAAATCTCATTATACAATTCAATTTACACTATTTCTAATGTCTGTTTTCCCAACCAGGGTCAGGTGCCATTTGGTTTAACTACTCTATCTCGAATTTGACCCTTTTCTGTTGGGAGTATCTTTGTTGGAGGCAATTTGAATATGGTTCTCGATCCTATAGTCGACACATCTAGTGGTAAGTCTGCCCCTTCTTACTCTGCCCACTTCAGACTGAAATGCTCTTTTTCTAATAATAATCTCTGTGATACGTGGTGTCATTTTAACCTGACAGGCAAGACTATACCTTTTTTCCTGCTCCTCACAAAACCTATAGTTGCATAAACTATCTCTTTATCTCCCCTGACCTTCTTGACTGTTTACTAGTGACACGGGTGGACCCCATCTTACTGTCCGACCATACACTGATCTATGTCTCTATAGAAGTTCTGGACAGGCCCTGACGTTGTGGCACTTGGTGCTTTCACAACAATCTAAACGATCAGCCGTGCCTATGAGATATCACACAAGTCTATTTCTCAGTTCCTTACAAACCACTCTCATGACAATACTCCTAGTCTGGTCAAATGGTAAGCATTGAAATGTGTTCTGAGAAGCATTTTCATCTCCCATGGAAAGCACTTGAAAAGAGAGTCCACATCTGAAATAAATTCCATGCTAACTCTCATGAGTCAGCTTGATAGCGACCACAAATCCTCTAGATCTAATGAAGCACTCCTTCGCTTATCCAGTGCTAGAACCCAACTTCACCAGCTCATAGACAGATGCTTTCTTGTCACTAGGGATCATATCTGTTGCACTTCTTACATGTCAGAAGATAAATGCGGCATGTGTTTAGCCCATAAATTGCATTTGAGACAGTCCACTAACTCGATTTCTTCTATACATAATGCCTCTGATTTCCTCACACATAAGCCCTCTGAAATGTCTTATGCTTTTAGGGCCTTCTACTCAGCTTTCTGTAATACTAAATGGAAATATGCAGGCCTCCCCTAAGACCAGCTCCTTCACCTAATAAATTCTTACATGACAGACACAATGTTACCCACTTCATCTCAGGCGGTTATAGAAATGCTAGATTCTCCTTTTCTGCAGAAGAACTCTCCCAAGTAATCTCGTCTCTGCCTAGCAATAAGAAGAGATCCCTGTGCTCAAATCCCAACAGCTAGTGCATGCATTTATCCATCAGGTGCTAAAGGGGTGTAACCACATATTAACACTAGAAATTCTAAAGGACCCTCTGCACACTGGTATATACCCTTTCAAACAGACTATGCAATAAATAGGGATGTTTAGTTCACACATATTGCAATACATGCTTAAGCTGGCCAACTGCGTCAAAGTAATCCCTCTATGGCCAGTCCTACTCTGCCCTGCCTACGCAAATGCTACTGTGGACACAATGCTAGCATAGGGGAAAAGACACAATGGGGAGATTTTTCAACTCTCTCACCCAGCGCAACTCAGCCTAGCTTAGCTTTTCTAGTAACTCCACAGGGTGTTTCCCTGGAGCAGTAAACCAATCGCCTCATTTGGGGAGGGAGGTGTAGGTGGAGACCTAACTTATGACCAAGAAACTCTCATAGCTTCTATTATGATTCATAACTTATTCTCAGGGCATTTAGCAGCCATGACCCTAGTAGATTAATATGCAGATGCATCTGCGGAACGGTTAGATATGAAATATGAAATATTCGCGTGAATGGTTCAGGAGATATAATCTTCTGCTCTTCGGTATGTGTCAGATAAGGGGTCCAACATATCAGGAGAATGGTCTCAAATTGAGCCGTCTGAATATGGGCTCCATGTTTATGTGAGTCCTCCATAATCCAAGATATGTAATCATAGGGGAAAATGGATGTTGAATGTGGTGTCTAGTTTATGACTTCTCTGGAATGTATTGAACTCAGTGAAGGACTTGGTTTATGCTTTTATGATCCCTTTCCAAGCAAGAGTTTCTTAGACAGGGGGGCACCTAGCTAGTGAGGTTTTATAGCCAGGACGCCCTCCCACTGAGTGTGTTGCCTGTGATCTCTGCAACCACACACCGACCACATGTCACTCAACAGAGAGGGAGGGGCGATGAGGACAGAGGGAGAGAGAGATAATTATACAAGATGGACGATCCTTTGCCAAAATGGAGGTTCGCATCCATCTCTGTGTGCATGATTGCTACACCTTGTAGTACAGATGCATCTGGTCCATTTCTGGACCTACCACCTGGGAACATCACCTCATGCCCAGATAGATTAACTTCTTAAGTAATGGTTCCAGCTGGAGCTGTTACCAGAGGCCCAGAATGGGTAACCATGGACCATTTCCTTCAGGCCTAGCCATGGGAATTACAGCAGTGGGTTGGTTGCACCAACCCCCAAAGCACACCGCAAACTAGTGACAGGCATTGAAAGCCATCTATCTACTCATAGCCATTTCACACACCTCTTCCCTGTACCTGTGAAACCCAAGAATCATCCTACCTAACGGAGGCTGGAGACAGCTCCCCAGGGTTGCACTGTGGAGGTTGAGCATCAGTCCTCACCCCACATGAACTGTTGGCACTGTAGTGAGCCAGGTCTCATTGCTGCTTCCTGGTTCAATCCAGACTGCAGCCTGATTTCATGTTGCAATGGTCAAATATGAAATCTTCCCTGGCAATATTGGACTGGCAGTGTAATTTTCTTGCTTGAAACAGGCCTGGTAAACTGTAGACACTTGTGGGGCAATAGCATTGGGGTTGTCTGTATCCATGGTGAAAGTCAAATGTACCCCACAGCCCTGGTGATCCTGGAAACAGCTGTTTGGGAAGTAACCCATAAATGTCTGAAGTTCCTGGCTTATGGCTTAAAGGGAGCATTGAAAGAGAGACTTTTCTTTGTTTTGTAGATCATGGCAGGGTGGCACCTCTGTATTGCTCCCTGTAACCTGGGATTGGAAGGATCATGGAACCTTCATGAAAAACTTGCCATTATTACTTTGTAATTTTAAATTATTCTGCTTTCAATATGCCACTTCATTGACATCATCTTTGTTTTTTCATTATGACACCTTTGGTAACAAACCTTTATTCTTGTTATTGAAATATGGATTTAGTTTTATCTGTGTTACAATAGCTCTGGTTTTGGTACTATAATATTAAAATGTATTACAGTGATACTTTTTTCCTCAAAAATTGTTTCATATACAGCATTTTTACAACTTTTATAAGCACGCCAGGACAATGTTCCATTTGGCCAGTAAGGATCGCCATTACAGTGTTAAGCCAATAGGAGCATGCAGTAATTGGGAGGGGTGGGTTCAGTGTAAGACACTAGATAGTGTCAAATTCTCCTGGTTAGAGCAACACAGGATTAAGGGTACCCAGATAGAGAAGAATGAAAGGTATATTCTGACACCTTTTTATGCTCACATTATGCCGTTTGGGTACTGATATAGTATACTTTCACTGTTAAAAAATATCATGAATTGTGATTGAGGTACCAATTTCTATTTTAACTCTACTTGCAATGACTCACTCAAGTTCTCTTCAATAAACACCTCACTAGTCAGAATATACTGTAGTTCTAACCTGCATGACCATGATCATGATAATTTATCATAACAAAATATGCTCTAGCTTTGAAACAAACATCACTGTTAA